GCAGGGGGAATCGAGCCTGGGACCCCTGTTTTGCGACACCGGCTCCCCGAAGACTACGTTTAGTGGAACGTCTACGTAATAGACGTCGGGCGGGGGGGGGGGTTCGGGGGGGGGTTATCCTCTATCCTCTAGTAAGTATCCGACACGCCGAGCAATGTCGGCGGACTTGTTTGCTGGTTTCCCAACTAGGTCTCCCAGTAGTGCCCTGTTTCCATTTATTTTTTGGTTGTGAGGAATTCCCTACTAAATAGACTACATAAAAAAAAGTTGGTACCCTTATTGTAAGATCTACTGGCGGACCTAGCCAAGTGGTTGTTCAAAGCCCTCGGCCTGTGTTGCAATCAGCTAAAAAAGGGCTGATTGGGACCCGAAAGTTTGACCTGCCAAGAATCGCCTTGAAACATGACGAATTGATTCAATTGATTTGGAGTATCCGGTTGCAACTACTGCAGTATGCCAGCCCCTCAGTAATGCATGGAAGAAGGGGACACTCCCACCCCCAAAAGCGCGTCGCGATTCTTTGGCTGGCAAACAAAACAACATAGCCCACAGAAGGTCAGTCAACAAGCCAATTGAAAACCTTTGGGTCCTGGGAAATCGACTTGAGCCACAATCAAAGCCCGGGTAGATGAAGGTTAGTAAGGGACGATCCCAGCCAGAAATAGCTGCGGCCGCCTTCTTAATTCTTGGTTCTGGGTCAACCATTTTTATACCAGGTTTTGATTTTGACTCACTTGGGGTCTGCTTCTGACCCTTTAAACATGGTTGGTCACCCCTGATTTTGGGTTGACCAGCCTTTCAGTTCCAGTCCCAGACGCTCAAGACCTACGTGCCTGGTTTCCATGTTTTGAAGGGACCGGGGGTCCCAGGAATATTCCAAATGGTTTTTCAGGGGTCTCCGACTATTTTGCATGTAGAGCAAATCATATTTTGAGGATGAATCAGAAAAGGGCCTTTCTTGGAGTACCCGCGATTCGGCCAAGTTTTGTCCCCACGGAAATCCACCAGGCCGGGCGGTTTTTTTGCTTGGACCCAGGCTTGTTGGCACTGGCGCTGGATCGGCGGGACACGTGCCGCTTGGGCATCCCGCCGCCTGAGATTCGCGCGCCGCAGGTTCCGATTCCAGGACAGAAAGCGAGGGCAACGGGGGTGGGGGGAGGGTTGCAGGGTTCGGCCCGTTTTCTTGGGACTGTGTAGTCAGGAATGACTTTTGGGCAAAAGTGCGTTTTCGTTGTTTGCAGTAAATTATGGGGACCTGTGCCGCATATTGTGACTTTTGGGCAAAGGTGTGTCAGTGAACCTATGGAGCAATGGTCAGGGTGTCATTTTGGGTTTGGGAGTGCCACTCCGTGGACAAATTCCCCGCCCATCGTCATGTCAGAAAAGTAGGCGAGCAGCGCAGTCCATCTGCAAAGTTGCGGACCACGTTTGCATGAGTTTCTTTTGTTATTACTCGGCCAATTCTATCAAAATGATTTGTGTTCTGGGACCTCACTTTTGATATAAACAACTCGCGCCGGCGGTTTTTGGGGGATCATCCACTTGTTCTTTGAGCAACAGTTCTGGCTTTATTGATTCATAGAGGGGACATTTGGAGCCACGGCCAGTGAACCGCAGCAAGAAATCAGTCATCCCGTATTTTGTTTTACCCACTGACAGTGCCCCCCCCGCCGAAGCATGGCAAGTGTGCATCCACATCTGCACGCCAGGAATCAGTGTGCCGCAGCAGCTCTACATCCCTGCATTTGTCAGGTGAAGGCCCTCTGTTGGTCTCCATGGGAGAGGATGCAAGCCTCAGTTCGCGAGGCTCAGTACAAACGGTGGCATTTGTTTCTTTCAGTTGCGTGTCTTTGGGCGCAAAGATGGACAGCTGAAAGCTTTGTGGATTTGCATTGGGGCTTCTGAACTCGCGGCGGTGCGAGCTGGCTGCCGCGCCGTCGCGCTGTGCGGAGCAAGCCTTGGACATCGGTCGTCCATCCCCGAGGTTCTCCTTTACTCGGGCTTGCGCGAGGGCAGCTTTGTAAGCTGACAAGTGTTTCCTTCGGCAGCTGTTGGAGGGAAGGCTTGGAGCTTGTCTTCCGTTTCAGAGACGAAGCATGAACCGCGAGCACCTGCTTGCGCATGTGACCAGGAAAGCCTTTGATGCTCGTCAATCTGTCACATAGGCCCACAGGCACACCCTGTCCCTGGCGAGAGGTGGGACCTTGAACCATTTGACTGGCGGTGTCGGCCGCCTGTGCATAGACTCCCACAATCGCCCCACGTGGGCGACATGCGTCAGCGAGGAAAGGGGCGAAGCTCGAGCTTTCTGTTGCGACTCGGTACAAAAGGCATGCTGAAGCTGGAACTGTGAAGGGAATACATGGGTTGGTCTCTCATAGGGGAACGTGAAGCCAGTGGTTTCCCCTTGGTTCCTTGAAAAGCAGTCGGATTCCCTCAAGAATCAGACCCACAGTTATTGGGTTTCACTGCAGATGGTTGCACTGTTCAAACTGCAACGTCGGTGGGCAGATTGCAGGTGGCAATCATGTCAACACCAGGTAAGCGAGGTAAGTCGTTGCCTGGATTCGCTAAGGGACGAAGCTCGCGCAAAGGGAAGTATCATCGCTAGCACGGGTTTCCATTTCAATCATTGGTGTCCTTGTAGGTTAGTTTGAATAGAAGGGTTCCACTGGTTTAGATTGGTTTTACCAAAAGGACACCTATGATTACAAGCTTGGATCCACAGTCTACCGACCCCTCACCGCGCTCCGCGTAATGAAGCCTTGCGGTTGTGCAAAGCTTTCGTACGCATGGAGTCCATGTTCCACCAACTCGATTCCCACGTGCTTAGTGAGTCTGAGCATCAGCAAGTCTTGAAACAAGTTGGCGTTCCTCTATGCTGTTGGGTGATACATGGCTGTGGGTCAAAACCAATGATACCATTTTGGGGTAGGTGCACCACCCATTTTAGAACCTAATTTAGTGGCGATTGGGATGTTCACTGGGGGTAAGATTTGGATTTTGACCCATGGCCACATGTCGAGAACTACACAGAGGCGGCGATGCCGATCACTCCCCACCGGCGCCACCGATTGATCCCTGCCAGCACCTGCAGGGGATCGGTGGCAATTCGGGTGCCGTTTGGGGGATTTTTCACAGTGGTCCCCTAACAAAAATTGACCACTAGACAATCTCCAAATAGTAAATGATGGTAAATGATTGGTTTTCTGTTGGTTTCCCTTTAAACACAGCAGTAAATGATTGGTTTGCTTTTGGTTTCCCTTAAACAAATACCTAGCAACAGGGGGTTCCGCCAGAGAAGCCCCCATTCGAGTTTGCCAGGATCAGCTCGCCCTCCCGGAAGGATGCGGCGGGGAGTCGGAAGAGGGCGCCGGTCGCCTTGAGCCATTGCCTCGAGGTTCAGCTTGCTCGGGAGCCATGAGCGATCCGTTCCTGGCAGGTTCCCTTTGGTGCATTTTGCTTTGAGGTTAGGACTAACTTTTGCCAACTAATGGGTTTTCCATTAAACCACTAAAAGTAAAAAACAAACTTTAGCAGGGGAGCAGAAAGCAACCGAGTTTCCTTGTTGAAAGAATTGGATTTCTTACCGTTTATCCAATGGAAGCTTCCATTTGCTTAGGAATATGTCGTTCTTTTCCCTGGTTGGTTTTAATGGGAATGAGTCACGACTGGGGATTTGCTTTTTCCAGGTGGCTGAAGCAACGGTTTCTGGCGAGAGGAAGCCACAAGAGGTCCGGGGCAGATTCATCCCAGACCCATCAGGAGCCACGGAGCCTGTGACGGAGCAGCGGCTTGAGCAGGCCTTGGGGAAAAGGGGGGGGGGCGCAACTTTTGATCTTTAGCAAACACATGTGTGTACATTTGTCATATCTAATAAGAACATATATGTATATATGGTCCTGTGTTCCGTGTTGCTACCCCCCCCCCCCCCCCCCCCCCCCCCCCCCCCATATGGTATGGGTCCCCCAGGACCCCCCCCCCCGGCCCGAGACCCGGAGCCCCCGGATCCTGTCACCTACGGTCCCACCCCCACCCCGACCCCCTGAACTCGCACCCCGACACCCCGGCACCCCCAATCTCAGGACAAGCCAACCCGCAACCAACCATAAACCAACCCTAAACTAACCCTAAATACCCCCTAAACCAAACCCTAAACCGTAGACCTCTAAACCTAAACCAACCCTAAATCAACATAAACCAACCGTAAACTAACCCTAAACCAACCCCAAACTAACCCCAAATGCACCCGAAACCAATCCCTAAACAATAAACCCTAAACCTAAGCCAACCCTAAACCAACCCTAAACTAACCCTAAACCAACCCCAAATAGACCCTAAACCAAACCCTAAACCGTAAACCTAAACCAACCCTAAACCAACCCTAAACCAACCCTAAACCAACCCTAAATCAACATAAACCAACCCTAAACCAACCCCCTAAACTAACCCTAAATACACCCTAAATATACCCTAAACCAATTCTAAACCAACCCTAAACCACCACAACCCAACCACAGGACCACAACCACAGGGGGGGGGTACTTGTCTGACCCATGACCATTGGGGGGGGGGGGAGCTGGCAACGGTGTACCATATATATATATATTAGTATGTGTACATATATATATATATACATACACGGGATTTTTTGGGGTTGAAGTTGGGGGGTCTTATGGGTTGAGATATTTGTTTGGTGTTTGTGCTTCCTAAAGCAAGAGAGACGGGAATTCGCAGGGGAGGAACCTTTAGGCTCGGCATTGGCAGGTCCTGCGAAGCAACCAGCAGCTCCGAGAGCGAGTCCAGAAGCTGCGAGACGAGAAGGCGGAAACCCGGGGCTGGAGTCTCCTTCTGGCCTGAAGAAAAACGGTGGGTCATCTACCAGTCCTAATACTGTGGAAGGACGGAATCCTGCACCACCTAGCAAACCCTGAAAGGATGATTCCCCTGTAAATTCCAACAAACAACTTTTCCCCATGATGTCCAAGTGGTGCAGGATATCATATAGGGAGCCCTGTCTACCCAAATCGGGTGAGGAGGATTCCCATGAAAATCAACTGTCCAAAGAGTGCTAAATTTTCCCAGGGAAATCCACTGGGGGTTTGCGTTCCCTTTTTGTTTGGCAGGTTCCCTGCCAAATTATGGCATCGACCCTACCCAGGGTCACCTGGCACCCTCGGACACATTTCAGACGGCATGCTCCTGCGCTTTGCTCATTCAAGTGTCATTAGTTGCAGAAAACATCTAGGTCCCCCAGTATTGCCCTTTTACCTTTTTTGGGGGAGGGTTCCCCCACAAAATAGACTACAGAAAAAGGGTACCCTTATTCCAACCTCTTCACCAAAAGACCTAGACATATCCCAACCACATCACGCCACTTGTTTTCTCTTCGGTCCATGTTCCGTGAGACGAAGCCACGTATTTGACATTCCGTTTGCCGCCCGAGGAGGAGCTGATCCACAGTCAGCACGGGCCCGGATTCCCGGCCGGAGCAAAGGGAATCGTGGCAAGCGTCAAATCGACATCTGGACCCCCGACAAATTGGTGGTTGTCCCTTTTGGTTTCCCTGTAAGCCCGTTTCAACAAGGGTGTGTCTTACAGCATGGAACCCCAACAGTGATTGTTTTTCTGTTGGTTTCCCTTCAAAGCAACCACTTTAAAGGGCACTTTAGAAAAGGGCACACTAGAAAATGACACACATTGCGTTGGAGGGGTTTGGGAATGAACAGATGGGATCCCTTTCAATGAAGCCACATGGGATGGTTCATAGGAGTCGTTTCCACCGCCATGAACCTGATGAACCAATGAGTGATTATTGAGTTGCTGAACTTGTTGCATTGAGGTATTATGGTTCTCAGCTGGCATGTTGATAAATCTGTTTGCCCATGTCTTATGTTGGTGTCATGTTGATTTCCTCTTGAGCCAAAAGCATGGCGGATTTTTGACACACACACACACGCTTACAGGCAAAGCGCCGAAAAGTTGCAGGATGAGTTGCATGTAGTAGACAAGTCTGATTTCCATCAAGCCTAATGAGTTGCACATATATTATTAACAACATATGCTTTGCATCACACCCAACATTTTGGCAACCGCGAACTCAGCAATGGGCGCAAGCTCATTGAGCGATGGCCCCGTGAAGGTTTCTTGAGCGTCAGGTGCATCAGGTGAATCCCGAGATGTATTGGTTGGTGAATAGAAGAGACGTGCAAATATAAGTGGTTCGGAGTGTGAGCCAGGGACCCTAGGAGGCCAAGCATGTTGAAACCATGGTTCAAACATCGTGTTGAGAGGAGGCAACGGCTAGACTACACTGCGACATTGGGTGAAAGCAATCAGTTCGTAGCCCACTTCGGATCTTCTTTGGAGGATAAGCCAAAATTGAAACAACTTGCCAGCCTTTGTTTTTGCAGGTGTTAAACTGAGTATGACTGAGAGGTTTGAGAACTTCTTGCCCCTGCCTTGCAGGCTTGAGAACTTTATCCGCTCGCGCGTGCCTGGATCCCAGAGGACGGAACAGCGCGCGGCCGGTGCCTCGCGGCCGAGGGGTTTGCTCTGCGCAATTTGGATATCACACGAGACATGGCAGGAACTCAAGCTGAAGTTGCTCCTTCTCCCTTGCTAGATCCCTTGCTGCTGATCTGGTCCTAACTTTGAGGCCTGCTCAAGACACCACATTTCAAAACACTAGTGTGGTCAACTGATTGTACAACATCCCATTGTTCAAGCCTTGCAGCTCACAGAGTCAATGACTGCCCAAAGGCCCTACGACACCAAGAGCAGTCCGACAAAACACATTTGCCACCTACTCGCGACCAAACATGAAGGAAGAATGTGAGGAAAGCCCTGCTCCACAAATTCTAAGATCAAGAGAGCCTGCGGGGCCCCCTGCCCGCAGAATGGTTCTCAGAGCCCTCTAGGGACCCTTCTAAGAAGGTTCTCAGAACCCTTCTGAGGGGCGGGGCCCCAGGCTGTTTAGAGAAAGTTAGCAAGCCAAGGGTTTGGAAGGTGCAGCTGGATGGTGAAGAAGCTGGTTTCTTCCAGCACTTCAGAACATTGCATTTCTAATTGTGGGTGCCTGGAGTCTGCACCCTTCAAACATGGGGGCACGACCCCTTTCTTTCCTGTCATGACCCCATTTTTGAAGGGTCATGTGACATAGTGAAGGGTCACGGAGACTGGCGTGTCTTTCCTTGGTGGTTCTCAGCCGTCCCCTTAGGCTTTTAGATTTTGGGGGTTTAGTGGGGGTGTCCATTATTTCACCCACTAAAGTTTAACTTGAGGAAAGCCCAGTTTAGGATTTAGGGAAGGCCGCCTTTTTGGGGGGGTCTCCTTCTTCTGCCCCCATGTCGAGCATTCCAGGTCGCAGCTTCAGCCCGCGGCCCGCGAGAAGTCCGCGCGGCGGAGCGCGGCGAGGGAGGCGGAGAGCGGGGCCTACCCGCCCTCGCCTTGACAGGCGCGCTCCGTCGCCGAAAAGCCGCGCGGAGTTGGGGGGGGGGCAATTTGTGAGCCACGGTACGGAAGGGTTTTTATAAGCCCACCTAGCAAACTCGGCCACACTGCTGTAAAAAAAAAATGCAGTCGTCGGCTATGTCTCGGAAGTGGCCCTGCCGAATGGCAACTTCTTTCCAATTGGACAGCCCCGGGCTTGGGCAAAACGGGCGTCCACGATCGGATTGCTTCGGTGAGAGAATCAAAGTTTGGCTGGACTCAAAGTGCTACATCCTGAAAACACTGGGTAGTACGCCAGTGTGCATCACTGGCAACCATATGGACATGTCCCACTAAAAGCAGGGGGCCCACACTGTCTTACCACCCACGTTCCTGTGGGAAACAAACAATTCCGCCCGTTCTTAGACACAAAGTGGACCTGTGAGCGCGTCAACAATTTGAAAGCAGATGGCTACAGAGACCACAGACAGGTGGCCATGGTTCAAACCCAATGGTACCAATTTCGGGTAGGCGCACCACCCATTTTAGTCAATTTTAGTGGGGATTGGGATGTTCACTAGGGGTACAGGGTTTTGACCCATACCTTGATTCTTGCCAGCTGGTGTGTGGGGTTAAGCACCGAATGTTGACTAGCACTCGCTGGGCAAATGGGTTCGGACCGACGAACGGCCCCGATTCAGGCTTGCGTCAGTGACCGCGTCCAAAGCGGCGTAGGGAGTTGGAAAGTTGGAAAGGGGCGCCGACTCAACAAGAGTCTCTGACTTGCACAGAAGCTGTAGGCCATGTGGCGATTTCAGAGACTTTGCAAGCCATTGCTCGCCTTCGCAGAGCAGTCCCTCTGAATTCTTCTGACCTGTTGTTTTCCCGTGGTTCACGAGAGAAGGTTCCGAAAGGTGATCACTCTCTGGGCCCTTCGGGGTGAAGTCAAAGCAACGCGTGCCTACGTTTCTAGCAAGTCAGCGCCCTTCAGAAGATGGCAACGTGTGCCAGCTCGGGAAAGTGCGGCACCTGGATTGATGCAGTTGCTGAGTGCTGCTGCTGCGCATCCCCACCCCTGGGAAAGAATAAATGGAAGGGGACCAAGCAACCCCGCTCCCCCTTCAGGTAGGGGGATTTGATTCTAAAGGTGCAGATCACAACCATTCCAGTTTGTGTCTTTGCAAAATTAGGGCACCTCCTTTGGGCAACCGGTTCCTCAATTGAAAACTATAAGTTAGACCCATGGAAAGCCGGCTGCTGCTTTCAAAAGCACCCAGCTCTGCATAGAAGAAAACCATTTTTTCTGTACGTAAGTGGTTGGTAAGTTATACAATCCCAGCTTGCTGCCTGTCAAAGTCGTACTGATTCAGGTGCTTCAATTGTATCGGGATATAACTGGTAACAGGCGCACGTGCTTGGCAGACATTCTCCACAAGAAGCAGGAAATGCAAGGCTTGCTTTGCAGGGCTCCCGACGGGCCCTGAGATGATTTTCCGATGTTTGAGCTCCACGCCAGGTTGCCAAGCAGAGTTTCCAGTGTCTTGAGTTTGGAAGGAACTGGCTTGAGTCATGTGCCCTTTGGCCGGTGGTTTGGATTGGTGAGTGCCCATTTTTTGTGGCTTTAAAGAGCAACCAAAAGGAAAGCCCATACTAAAAGAAGGCACACCCATGCCTACCCTTCCACCCAATTGCTGGAATGAGAGGGTCTCTTTTAGAACACGATGCTCGTGGAGGACCCCTTAGGAGAGTCTGCCTCCGCGAGGGATTAGTGGCTCAAGAGGGCCGGTACCATAGGAACTCGTCCTCAGTCATGGAGGAGAGAAACCGGTCGAAGGGTTGGGCCTTTACTTTGGATTTGGCCGAAGTAATCGACAGGTTTCGGATGGCTCATTGCCCTGGGCAAGCACGCCATTTTCAGCGGGCTGGTTTGGGTGGGGCCTCTGGAGTGGTGCTTTGGAATGCTTCCCGCGCCGGGTCCAGCGGCCCAGAGGGCTCGAAATCAACCCCAGACGGGCTCGGAATGGGTCTGGTTCGGCAAACACTTTTGCCTGCCAGTTGATAAGGTACCAGTGCCGAGCATGTGTTGCGTAGCCCAGCAAAGCGCCCCAGTTCCCATCCCAGCAATAATTTTGGGGATTCAGAAGAGGGGGTCACTTTTTACTAGTTCGAGATCCTTTTGGGTTGCCTCCAATCTCCAAAAGGTGCTCATCTAAAGGCCCGAGGCTACCTGACTCTTCTCTTCGGCGTACGTATGGTTGTACGTGTGGGTCAAAGCCCAGGTGGGTACCCTTGTTTAAAAGGGAATCTGGGGGGTAGGGGGGACCTGGGTTTCACAGCCATATATGTGGAAGGAAGATGAAGTTTGCTGTCCAGGACAGCTTGTACGACGAGTTCGGCAATTACCAAGGCGGGCTTTTTGTGTTTGAAGCTGGCCACGCGATCACCGGCCAAGCAGAGGAAGAGTTTAACGTCCCGAGTCAACTCACGAATACAGGTACCCAGCCAACGGAGCCTTCCAAGGCAGGGACAGGCACTTTTCGCGTTTATGGCCCCACTCCAAGGACTCAACCCGAGCTTGCTTTTTCGACCCGGCGTCCTTATGAAAATTCAGCTTCCCTCTTGGTTTGGATTGGTGGTTTGGTTGTTGAGGAGGGCTGTTCCATTTGGTTTCTCGAGGAACCAGGGGTTCAAACCACCAAACCAATCCAAGCCGCCAATTCGGGGTGATGAGGGGTGACTTGAAAAGCGGCACCGGCCCCACGGCCGCTTTTCTACCCGCCGGGTCGCCAGACTCCGTTCCTTCAAGGCCCCGACGTCGATGACGAGGACGAGGACGACGACGACCTCCTCGACGGCCTCGACGAGGAGAAGGGCAAGGCCGATGACGAAGCCACAGGCGGCGCCGCAGCAAAGATTTTTTTCTGTGACTCATCCAATTTGCTTTGTTGATTTTGCCAAGGGATTTTAGGACTTTAACTTGTGGCCAACTAATGGGTTTGCCATTAAACCACTAAAAGTTAAACTGTTAGCAGGGGAGCAGAAAGCAACCAATTTGGATCTGGAAGTCACAAAAGGTGGTTTTCCTTGTTGGTCTCCCCTGTAAACCAAAGGGAACACAAATGGTACCCTCCAACAAAAAAGCACCTTGCGACCACATGTCGGCAGTTTGCAGAGTTTGTCTTGCACTCTTGCAGTATCTCTTGGTTGCTTCTGCGTTTGAGATTGCAGCTTTGCTCTTGCGACGCGGTTTCCCTACAAACCATCAACAAGTGTCCCTTTGCGAGGGGTCAAAGAGCAACCAAGTAACATTCAAACCCAAAATTGCCCTCCCTGATGGATTTGTCAAATCCATGTTCAATCTGCCTGCGGGGGAGTATCAAATTCAAAGTGAAATGCAAACCCTGCCAGGGTGTGCCTTTTGGCCCTATTTCCTTTTAGGGACCCACATTATGAAGATTCGTTTGTCTGTCCTTGGGCAAAAGCTGTGGAATGAGTCGTGAATTCACAGTGACAAGGAAGTTTGCTGCCTTAGGGTACTGCGGGAATCCATGGAGGAAGTGGTTGGGGCTTGTGTGACTAGGGCAAAAAGAGAGGCTGGGAGCGGACGCAAATCCCCGCGTTCATTGCGCATTGCACCAAAGGGGCCCAAATTTATGAAAGTTTATGAAAGCAACGCTGAGCTGATAAATCGCTCTGAGGCAGGGTTGTGGGATCAAGGGGTTTCGCCCCACTTCTGTGATACAAGGGAATCCCCCTTTATATGAAGAAAATAGTCTTTGGGAAGCCCTTTCTGTTGTATCACAGAAGTGGTCATTCCCCACAGCCCTGCTCTGAGGTGATGTGCCCATGGAGGGGGCAGAGGCAACCGGTGACAGGCCGGGCAGTAAACTCTTTGGAGTTGGCACCAATCGACACGTGGCTTTGGACTCTGGTTGGCCATCAGATCGACTCAGCGATCATTCAGCCGCTTGCGCGTGACACAATTCTTCAATTATTGAGTATGTTCAATAATATATGAGCCCCTGCAGATATGTGCAGCCACTTTAGGTTTTGGTAGTTTCGCGTGGACATGGCCCGACAAGGGTTCCACGTTGCTGTGTCACTGCCACTGAGTGTGTGGTGCAAGCTGGACTTTGTCCGTGCGAGGCAAATCATTCTCCATGAGGACAAGAAGTGCCTCTTCTGCACTCAGAGCAGATCAGCCACAGACCAAAACCATGGTAGTATTCCATCGCTAGTTTGGGAAGGACATCGCAGGGAAATAAAAGAGCTTCTCACAAAAAAAAGCACGGGCGCCACCGATGTCCTCTTGGGGACACGACAGTCACTTTGCACGGGCTTGTGTGGCGGCGAGTCGGGTTGTCAGTCATATCAAGTAATCCAGAGCCACAAAGGGACCGGGCAGGTTCTGGTCAATGACTAGCCACCAGTCACTTCCAGATTCTGGTTCATTGCCACTCAAGTAGGCAATTGATGGGTTTCCTGCACAGGTAAATGGAATCACGGGGACCGTTACTAATAGTCAAATGCCATCCGGTCCCTCAGCTCTTCAGCCTTTTAGTTGGTTTAGAGAAGGTTTCCGTATTTAGCCCACTAAAAGTGGGTCAGTTTTTGCAAATCTGACAACGGACAGCGCAGCAGTTCCCCCTCCCCCCCCAAACGTCTCCGAGGTACTACCCAGATGCGGAAGAGCTCTACGGTGACGCGGAGGCGCTAGTGCAGATGGAGGACACCCAGCCCCTGACGGAGCCCATCATCACCCCGGTGCAGTCCAAGAACTTTGCGCCTTCGACGAACAGATGACATTTGTTGAAACGGCGGGGTCCAAGTGGTGAATAGATACATGATATAAGAGCATAGAAAAGGCTTACAAAGTAAGGGGATGGGTACCATGTTCCAAGGAACAATACCAAAGGCGATGGGTAATTTGAACTGTGCCCCCCGATTCAGCTCCCAGAAAGTGGTTGGCATCCATTTGGCCTTGCAAGAACACATGGCTGGGTGGTTGAATGGAGAAACATGCAGATGAGCGGTGATGAGCGTCTGTTATTTGCTTTTCTTTGGGTAACTTGAAGAAGCTTTTTTGTTGACAGATCCCTGGAAAAACCACTGCTTTGGAGTCTTTGGTAAGCAAGAGCATGTCGCTTGAATGGAGCCGGAAGATGTCCACACGGGGAAGGGCGAGGCTCCTGAAGCACAGGAAAAGAATGGCTTGCAGGTAACTGCAGTCGTGACCCAAGAAAGAGGGTCCCAAGAACCAACGTGGGTATGGGTATGTCGTTTTTGCCCCGCTCCCCAACAAAAAGACAAAACAAGTTGTCTTGCTGTTGGCCTCCCTGTAAAATTCGGAAAAAAAAAAGTACCCTCAAAAGGAAAAATCGGGTATGACGCCATGTGTTGCGCCCGCTGTCGGACACATGCCCAGGGTCATTCTGTCCAGGGTCATTCACTCCGCTCCTTCCGTGTCAATGCGGCATACCTAGCCACCGAGTTGTAAGATTGGAGAGCCAGTCTGGTACCCTGGGCTTGCGAAATCAACAGCAGTTGGGAAATCTGCTTAAGCTTGCCATTCTTCAAAGACAGCTCCGAGCCCAGGATTTGCTCGAGACCAAGATGCCAGACACGACCTTCGACTTCAACTTCTTGGCAGCGATGATGGACAAGCCCAACCTTGTCCGCCGCACGGCCGAAGGAGCTGCAAGGTCAAGCGCTCTGTGGTCAGCAGGAAATTCCCAAGATTCTTCCTGGCACGCTGAAGGTTCCAGCCGGACATAGGTCAGGTAAGGATCATGGCACCGCGTGTGTACATGTCTGTCTTCGGTTTTGGTCGCCCTTGGGTTTTCTCCAGTTATTCCGGGGACCTCTTGGTCCCTGTTTGGTGCTTTCCCCACCAACGGAATCACCCCCAGCAAGACATGGTCTTTGGCCCCCATTGTTCCTTTTCTGTGTAGTTTCCCGCGGCCCGAAAGGACATATTCTCTTTCTCGACTCATCTGAGGCAACATTTGCCTCTTGGGCGCCATGCATCACGGCAAGACCACCTTCATGGACTTGATGGTGTTGAACACCCACGAGAAGGAGTGGAAGGCGGGCAAGGAGATCCGCTGCTCGGTCCGCGAGCCACAAGTAAGCACAAGATCAGGCGGCAAGTCCCTTGTGTGTGTTCTCCCAAATATATATTTGATTATACCTGGGTGCGTCTTTTTTGCGAACACCTCCAAAATGGTGGGGGTGCCCATAACCACAAAGAGGGTACCGACTCCAAGAAAATTCATCTATATAACTCTATGTATATCATAGCGCTCACCGTCTTGGGTCGGGCGTGCAATGCCTGAGGTACAGGTAACGTGACTTGGCTTTGCGAATTCACTGGCGCGGTCAAAAGTATGGCGGGTTCCTTTTGGAATTTGGTGCTGTCCGAGGTGCGCCCTTAAACGGGGAATTACCAGAAAGGGGTAATCTTGACTGACCCCACTGAGCTCCACTTGTACCCTTCCGTGACCTACTTGTTGCAAGGAACACTTTTTGCCTACCAAGGACCACTGCTCAGGGCTCAGTCAATAAACGCAACCTCACGTTCCGAAAGACAATACCCCCTGGCAACTGTTGTGTTTGATTCCCTAAATAGAGGTTGTTTACAGTAGCGGTCTCCGAAATCCATTGTGAGAACACTCAAGTAGGTGTGTGTGCGTGTGTGTCTTTGTTTTTGAGGCTACCGTTTTAAGGTTGATTTAAAGGGAAGCCAAAAGAACAACAGAAACAACAAACATGCTTGGTGGTCCTCTCATTTTAACACATTCCCGCATGTTTCAAGTAAGTTAAAGCAACAACTACTGCAAATGCGCAGGTCTCCGGTTTCCTGGCAAGACCTTCAAGACTCCGAGCAGCACTGAACAAACACATGCAGCTTCCCTGACATGTCCCTTGCCTAACCTCCGCAGCTTGTTGGTCAAACTCACAGCACCGCGAATCGTCCTTTCAACCTTCTGCCTTGCCTGGTTTAGTGGCCCAACGGTACTAGAGGCCGCACCCGGGTTGTGAATGATCCCCTTGCGGATTGTCTTGAGCTCCTTCTTCTGGACACCTGCCACATGGCCGCTGAGTCCAACCATCTCCTGGAAGTCCATACGTCAAGATTCCAAGATGAACCTTTGCTGTCCAGGTCAAGTGAGAGCATCCTCAAGAACTGGAAGTGGATGTTCCCCAAAGCTAGTGATCTTTCAACAGCCTCCTCTTTGCTTCCATGATTGTAAACATAATTCATTAGCGTGATTCCTCCCCGTTTATCTTCAGTACAGCGCATGTGGGTCCTGTTTTTTGAGGATTCCCTTTTTGGTGTTGGCTCCAGGTGAAACCAACCGGTTCCTCCACTCCCCTCATTTTCTGCAGGCAAAGTTGACGCAACCCGTGCTCGCTCGCTCGTCTCGGACGTGGCAAATGCTGAGGCTACACGGACTCGAGGCAGGACGAGCAAGACCGGGGCATCACGGTGAAGGCCAGCTCCATGAGCCTGGTGCTGCAGGACTCCAAGGACCGATCGAACCGATCGAACCGATCGAGTCCAATTCGATGCCATCGATCGAGCAATCCGGCGGAGGTTTGGGGCTTTATGGGCAAGGAAGAAGGAGACCAAGGAGACGAAGGGAGGTTCTGTTTTGTTTGGGTTCTCCGGAGCCCTCAAGATAGGCGTTGATCTTGGAGGCTTTCCGCGAGATGGGACTCAGTCCTCAGAAAGATGGTTTAGGTGTTCCTTTGATTTGCCTTTAAGACACTTGGACACTATGAATGGTTCCGAATGGGTCTGTTCTTACTTTTGGAGGGTGCGTGTTTTACTTTTTGTTTGCTTTAAACGCGAACCACAAGGAATATTTGTCTGTGGGTTCCCCTTGTTGTGATGGGGTGCGGGACATGTGCTGAGAAGCATACCTAAAGTCCATAGGGGATGGCTGTCTCTACAAATTCAGTAGGACGGTGCGATGACACATATGGCACCCAGCAGTTGGTGTTCCTTGCTGATTAGAGCCAAACTGAGACCAGCATCCATTTTTGGGTTGGTATGTTTGATTGGTTTAGTTTGTTTGTTGGGGTCTGATTGCCGGGGTGAGATCGAGCGAGAGTGAGTGAGGGGGTGAGTGGGTGGGTGAGTGAGTGAGCGAGCGAGCGTGTTTGCAGGTCGACCAGTTCGTGTCGTGTTGCTTTGCTGTGTTGTTTGTGCCTACGTGTGACACGTATTATACATGTTGGAGGTGTGAAGCAACACAGCGTGAATCAAGACACTGAAAGGGGGGGGCTTGCCAGGGCTAAATTTGCGCGATTAGCACGTCTGAGTCTGGCCGGCGTAGCTGGCTGCTGGGTATCCCCTGACAGATTATGTGCGCCCGTTCTGAATGCAGGACAAGTCCTACCTCTTCCACTGCATGGCCACTTGTTCGCATGGGGCATGTGCTTCGCGCGAGAGAAGTGATCAGTCCATCTACCACTGGGGTCACGGAAAATTGCCGTTTCGGCGGGTTGGCAAAGCCGGGGCCCGGGGCTACCTGGGGCCGTGACTTTGTTTTCCTCTTTTTGGGGATGGTTTCTTTTAAACTCAACTATACCAAAGCATGGAGCGCCCTCTTTGTTTTTTTGTCAGTTCACATGGGGTACGGAATTGATCCCCTTCAGATTCAGACGTTTCGAGAGAAGCCGGGTTCTGTGCTTTGGGGGCCCCAATCATGAATTGTCAGAGTGTTCCCTTGATCATTCGAGGAAGTTGGAGTTGCTTAGCTCGCATGGGAGACACAATGGCCTAATTAGAGGTAAGCACCTTGATAAATCATGTCATGGTGCTGGCAATGACGCGTCCGGTTTCTTGAAAGTGTGGTATACTGGTGAGTTTATCCAAGATAGTGACCCTGAATTGGTGAGTGTTGAAAGGTGAACCAAAAGCAAACAAATCATTTGGGGCGTCCCCTGTGTGAGAAGCACCCACGTGAGCAACTTGCAAAGTCCACTTGTATGCTGAGTTTGCTCCAAATCACACGAAATGCCATGGTGAACCAACGTCATACAAAACTATAGCTTCCAGGGTGAATGGCAATCCTTTGGCAGCATGAGTGAACTTTTCGTCCGGAAGCCGACAGTTATCCGGCGCCCGGAAGGACAACCGCAACGACAATGTAACGACAACCCTTTTTCCTTTGTATGATCCGAAGCCATGAGCGATGCTCACGCCATAAATTGTGCTTCGTCCAAGCAAGTCACAGCGTAGACGGAGCTACTGGTGTATCGGGACCACCGAAAAACGCTTGCTGCATAGCGCAGCTGTCCAACGGCGGAAATTGGACCTTTTGGTTTATTCATGTTGGTCCCTGTTTAATCAGGGTCCCAAAAGATTAAGCTTGTTTTTTTCCACGTCCTTTTGGGCAGTGAGTTAACCCGTTGCTTGGAAACACTGCCAAACAAACCTGGTACTCGAAGAACCTACAAAAAGTGGGGTGGGCAGAAAAAGGCAGGCCCTGCACCTGCCACTCGTCGAAAACCAGGTTTTCGGTTGAAGAACCTGGTTTTGCTTCCTGAAATCCGCACAAGAACCGTAGAAAACCCGTATTTTCCGTAGGCCTTCTGAAACCCAGGTGTCTCCTCGGAACCCGCGTTTTTGTAGGATCTTGGAGCAGCAGGAAGCAATATATAGTGGACCCTTTTTAGTGGAGCTGGCTCATGTTATCTCACGACACCCCACTCCGAGGATACTCCTGGCCACGCCAACTTCCAGGCGCGAGTGGGATCCAGGGAAGCTGAGGCCATCGGCCCTTTGACCCCGTCCCCCCCCCGTTCCTGCGTTGCTCCAGGGGTCGATTCCCCGAGTCGCTGTCCCCTCGGTTTTTGAAGGTTCTCCAGAAAGAAGGATTCCTGGAAAGAATGGGGAAGGTACCCCTAGAGTTGTGTGAAGGGTGGGATTCGTGGGTTCACTGAAGATGGTTTTCAGATGGGTTCCCGTTTTTACCTAGGGTCATGCAGCTGGGATAAGTATATGCGGAGTGTCAGGATTTGGTGTCCCAATGGGCGGAATCGACAGGAGCAGCCGCGCAATGTTTGCTGTTCAAATTCCATGCGCAAGATGCTTATGCCAGATGAGAGTGGTTTTCTTGGCTGTGTGGTGTCCCATGGATCACGAAGGGCTCAAAAGCTGAACTGACTGAGGCTGACTGTCTGGTGTCAAAGCTTCAATCATGTTTCACGGGCAGAGCTTCATGGTGTCATTGCAGGATCAATCTAGAGCATAGGTATGCCAATGCCGTCGCGAAGTGGATTCCTAGGCTGGAATTCGGTTGGGTACCCCGATTTCTTCAGGTGCTTTGACATGTTCACTCTCAATGGAAGACATTTGCAGAGGTGCATCCATTTTTTCCAGCGCACTCAGATCTTTGGGGTCTCCCCCAAACCTTTGTTATATGTCAGGTTTTGTTGGCATTTGACAAGCACACTAACGTGGCACCTGACAGGAGAATATTCCGCGTTGTTTTTTTCGTTGACCTTCGTCAAGAAGTGGGTGCAGTTTTCCTAGCCAAAGCCGGGTAACCCTTAACCCGCTTTGGCGTGCCGCAACCCAAGGAACTCCCCCCCGAGTGATGATTTCGTTTAAACAACACCCAAGGGTACCCTCAAAAAACACCCCAAAAGAACAAGAGGATGTTTCCCCCTTCCCCCCGCCAAGTGATGATTTCCTTTAGCCAACCCTCAAGGGTCCCAACAAATCACACCCTGATACACAACAGGACGCTTCCCCCTTCCGCACCAACCAAAAACCAGGAGGATGTGTTCCCTTTTTTTGGGGGTACTACGGGTACCCCCAAAACCCCCCCCCCCCCCCCAGGACGAGGTCATTGCCGCCTTGGCGCTCTCCGACGGAGTGGTGCTGCTGGTGGACGTGGTGGTGGGCCTCACACAGCGCCTGGGTTCGCATGCGGAGACTCCACCCAAGCTACGGAGGAAAAGCAAAAGCTCAGGTGATATCCCCAACAGCGTGCTGTGCTCATTTTAGTGCTCACACCACCCCGGAGCCCTCGCATAACCTCGTGGAACCCTGGTGGAACCTCATGGAACCTGCCTCAGGGCCGCCCGGACCACCCCAGAGCCTATCTGGGCTGAGACCCCAAAGCTTTCAGCTGTTGGGGAAAAACGGACTTACTGTAGCTCAAAATAAGGGTACCCCCCCACCCAAAAAAATTGCTCAGGTGATATCCCCAACAGCATGCGGTGCTCTTTTTAGTGCTTGCACTACCTGCTTGCACCACCCCGCAGCCCTCGCAGAACCTCGTGGAACTTTCGTTGAACCCTGGTGGAACCCTCGGGGAACCTTACCTCAGGGCCGCCCCGGACCGCCCCGGAGCCTATCTGGGCTGAAAAGCTTTCAGCTATTGGGGAAAAACTAACTAAGGGATTGTCTTACTTTGTCGTCCAGTTTTACTTCAGTACCCCCTCGCCCCCGCAAAAAACGCCCGAAGCAAAATGGTGGAATGAAACCATGGATCAGAAACGGGCTGGGTTTGTCTCAAGGCCCAAATCATCACGTGTGGGGTGTTGGGAATGAACCAGTGGATCTTTTAGGCAATCATAGGGGATGATAAAATACCGAACTTAGCTCAAAATAGGGGTTTTGGGAATGAAACCGTGGATCTAGGAAATCATAAGGGATGCTTTTCGGATTCCCCTCAGTCCCAAAACGAATCGACTTTTTGGCGCCTTTTAGTTTCCCCTTATTCGCCTATGTTTGGTCCCCCGAAAAGGTTCACCTTCAGGCCCTTTGGGCAACTGTAGGGGCCCAGTACCTTGAAATATCATGATAACAGCGGAATACTGCCACTACTATATGTTTCGCTCTTATATCATAGTGTTTGCCACTACTATTGCTTTTGCCCCTTATGTAGTGGGTATTTCTCTCAAAATCGGTCGGTGTCCTTTTGGTTTACTTTCAATTGCCAACCAAAAGGGTGAGGGGTCCACCATTTTGAGAAACTCCCGTACGGGGCTGGACCGTGAAACTATCCTCGAACATGAAGTATTGCTCCAAATGATGGGGAGATGCCCCCCCAACAATTTTTGAGGGTAGTTGAGGGTCCAGGTACATCATTGCACACCTGGTCCCAGTTGTTCAGTGTATTCCACGTTTTATTTAGTGGTACTCTTTTCCAGCAACCTGCCCTTGTCGACAAGGGCCCCTTCTCGATGGCCCAAAGCAACTTGACAATTGAACGATACAATTTCATGGTGGCAGTTTGTTCGTAGACGTGCGAGCGGCTTTCCTTTGGGCTCGCAGAGATTCAGAACGGAGCTGTCTCAGACGTTTTTTCATCGGACCGCTTCAGGTTACCCTTCGCTTCCCTTGGAATGCGTAGAGCCATAAAGAGGCTTCCTTTTCAGTGCTCCGCGCTGTTCCCAAGAGATGAAGGCAGCAATGTACTTTTTCAGGATTCCTTTGGCAGACAGTCCCTTCCAGCGGGGTCCTTAGAGCAAATCGGAGCAACGCAATCTAGTGAGACGTCTTAGAGAAAGGGAGACTCCAGGCACACCGAGCGGATGCTGAAGCACGCTCTGCAAGACAAGCTGAAAGCTGCTGGGCTGAAACATGAGGGGGACAACTACAGACATATGGGTGTGGGTCAAAATCAAACAGCTGCGGTTCCGCAGGTTTTAGTCTACCTTTCCATTTACCAGGGCAAGCCATTTTGGGGTTACCCTATTTTTGACAACCACAGCCATATTTCAAAGTGCCTTCATGATTAAAGCAAAATTTGGTGGTCTTCCGGGGCGGGGTGTTGATACCCTGAGCTGAACTAGCGCGAAATCTGGAGGCGGGTGGCCCGGAGTGCAGTGGTCTCCGGCCATGATGCAAATTTGGGCGTCCCCGTTTTGGGTGGTCCAGTCATTCTAAGGCCACCTTGCATGTCCATTCTGAACCCAGGGATCCGTATTTCTTTTCAGGAAACCATCGAAAACCCAGGGGAAGCAGGCGGTGGTTGAAAAGAACGATGGTTGAAAAGAATGGGGAATCAACCCCTAGAATTCTGGAGGGCCCTACTTGGAATCCGCCACTCAGAATACTCGTGAGGAATCCCGTGACCATGCCCCATCCCAAGACCTGCTTGGCTGCTACTTGGTCCTGAATCCAGTAATTGGGGCTTGGGCAACCAGACCAAGGTTCCCTTCAATCGAACCATAAAATGTGGACATTAGGACCCCCTACCCCGGAAAGCTTCTCAGAACCATTCCAAGATCTTCTATCCTTCCAAGATGGCTCCAAGACCGCAGACCTCCCCGGCCCTTGCTCCCTTGTTAGTGGAGAGTAGCCTGCTTGAACATCAACTAGTCAAATTTGGGCAGGTGTCCTTTTTCAGGGACACCCACTGGAGGTCCGAGAGAATCTTTCGAGCCACAAGGAAACCACTTGTTTGGTGGTGGGTGAATTCGCAAAAGCAAACCAAAATCAACCTTGTTTGGAGGTACCCGTTTGCTTTGATTGACAAACCCAGGTGGTGTGTGTCATCAACGGCCTGGACCGACTAATCATGGAGCTGAAGCTCCCTCCGACAGACGCCTATCACAAGACCCTCGGCAGCAGAACCACTGTAGGGAGCGGCCCCTCCATTTGGGTCCAATTTTGGGGATGGTGGACATTGGGCAATCACTGGATTTGTGTCCTCCACCAATTGCTCAGGGGGTTCAACTCTTCAATCTCCTGCCCAATTCCCCTTGTTGGACCTTCAACAGTGGCAAGACATCGAATCTCACCATTCCATTGCAGTTAACTCTGTGGAAATCAATTGACCCCTTTCAATTGCGATGCTCATCAGCTGGGATTGGTTCTGGCTTTGAGCTCTCACTAGGAAGGCCGGGCAGTTTGCTGGGTTGATGTTGAGGCTCAAACAACTTGAACTGACCTGAAGGAAATCACAGCAGAATGGTAACAAGAGTTCGTGTTCTTAGGTGACCCCCAAAATGGTTGGTTTCCTTTTGGTTACCCGTTTAAAGCCAACCCAAAAGGTCCCCCCCCCTCCCCGAACAGAATACCCACCCATATAGATGGTTTTACCAACTTGTACAAAATGGCAGCTTGGCAAAGTACATGGAACCAACCACGAAATCCCGCGTAGCTGTAGCTGGTCAATTTTGCGCCTCACCCGTTGCTGTGCTGAGACGTATGGCTTGCCATGGTCAGGTTGCGGTACTGCATCGAAGACATCAATGAGACCATGGAGAAGCTCTATGACTCTGCTGCTTGGCTTTGGCTTTGGCTCCAAAATCGGACTCGTAAAGGTAAATGGACAAGTAACTTTTGGCTCGAGCTCCATGTACATGTCCCCCTTTTGCTCATATCAATTGACAAGATTGGTCGCCCATTAGGCACCATTAGGCACCCTTGCGCCACACAAGCACAGCTGTTCTCAGGTAAGTTCGCTCGGCGAGGATTTCTGTGTTGGTTCAGTATTTGCCTAATTCTAGGCTAGTATTGGGAGGGTAACAAGTAATATTCATCATATTCCGGCTAAGTATTGGGGATTTTATTCATCAAGAGTGTGCTTTCTGGATGCTTCAAATGCGGACATCGTGTCCGCATCCGACTCACTACGCAGGTGAGTACAGAAGTGGACGACCGCATTTACTTCTCGCCCATCCGGGGCAATGCCGGGGCCTCGGAGCCTTGTGTGACCACGATTGCCCTTGGAGTTACTCCCCAGAAAAAACGAAAGGAGCCCCAAAAATGGGGTCCATGTCCCAAAAGGAGGTTCCTCTAAGATTTATGGTTGTTTGTAAAGGACACCTGTTCTGACCAGTTTGGTTTAAGGAAATCATAAGTGGGACTTGAATTGAGTGGTCCAACAGTCGCTGGATCTCTTCTCGGTTGGACCAATGAGATACTGGCTCAGCAAGCGGGGTTTATGGTTTTCTCATTTTGGTGCCTAGCGATGTTTCACTACGTAGACTAGGTTGCCCCCGAGTCATGAATCAATGAAACCCAGCAAGCCATGCGTGGTAGTGGAATCTCCTTTTTGGAAACCACTTTTTGGCTTGGAAGCAGAAAGGCAAAGGACACATTGGGATGACAATGCCAAGAATAACGGGAATTTTGCTCTCCCATCCCTGCTTGTATGCGGTCCCCGCTTCTTGGTTTGCTTGGCAGCCAACAACTGTATTTGTAAAATGGGATTCAAGGCCACAAGCGAATTGGGTTTCTCTCAGGTGTGCAATGGGAAACACGGCAACCAGCTGTCGAGCCAAATTTCAATCCAGACCTCCATTGGCGACCTGTTTATCTTTTTGTTTGAGTTCCCCACAAATTCATCAGATTGCCTTTTTCCCACGGAAATCCACTGGAGGTTTGGGTCAATCACGCCAAGGGAGCCTCCCAGCCTGCCCAACAAGGTCCCAGTCGCTTGCGTCTCGCTCAGGTCCTCTTCAGTTCGGCTCAGTTCCGATCCCCGGCTTGGTTTGTCGCCGTGTAGGGAAAGCGTCACGCACCAAGCACAGTAGGGTCGAATCCCTATGTGAGGCAAGTGAGGAACAAGCCAAACCCAGTAGTTACCCTAGTTTACAAACACTCGTTGTTGACTTGCAACATTCACGGAGCTTGATGAAAGAACAAAATTCTGGCCAACTGCTGTCTGCTCGGCTAGCCAGAAGAGAGACTTAGGGCGCATGCTCGCGAGAATTGTGCCTTCAAAAGACTGTCAAGCCAAGATGTGCTCCTTCGACAGACATTTTGTTTTTTGGTGTGCGTATATGTTTTGTACCGACAAGCGGCGAGCGATTCCTAGATGAAGCCTCATTAGATTGTGAACGAGGTGGACCTTTCATCCTGTTCATTCCAACCATACCTCAATGTCCTCAGCATGGCCAGCTTTCACCTGCTGGATGTATTCCAGGACAGGAGACTGGGTTGTTATTACCCAGGTTCCAACAATCATGGAAGCTGACAGATGCTTTTCGGATACAGTCCTCTTGAAGAAGCCCCTTGTCCTTTTTGACGTTTGTTGAAAAAAAGTGCTCGTACCACTATGGCAGGTATCCAGGATGTTTGCTTTTATATTTTACATGGTGTTCCCTGATTACCTACTACATAGACTAGATCTTTGTTTCTTTGGTCGGAGCTTCCCAGCCCAGCGGTCTGCTAATCCGAGGAATGATGTTCACCTTGGAGTCCTATGCCGCGATCTACGCGGAATCCCATGGCTTCAGTTTTGACCATCTCACCTTCTCCAAGTGTCTCTGGGGGGACTTGTACTACGACGCGCCCAAGCTGCACAGTAGGACTTGGGATCAAACTCGGGCTCTGGGGTTCTTTCCCTCTACAACTGGGGGGGATGACCTGCGGTATATTTGGCAGTCCGTTCAGTCCAGAAAAAAACAAATGCAAGTATTTGCCTGGGTAGCAATGGAGCCCTTGTCCCTACTCAAAATGGAATCGATCAAAGTTGTGCCGATTTGTCAGCCTTTTGGGTCACTGGCTGCAACTGGGCATGTGTTGGAGTGAATGACATGATGGGTTTGTCTTCAAATAGAAGACCCCCCGCCCGCAAGACCTGGTTTCCGCTGAGTTTCTCTTTGAACCAAAAAGGATACCATCAGAAACGAAACCTTTTGCGTTGATTTGGAGCTCAGATGGTTCCTTGGTACTCAGTTGATATATACTTGTTGAGCAGTTTAAATGGACCGTTTGGTATCTCCTTCGAATCGATGTTTGGCCCCACCTGTGTGGATCCCCTCTTGAAAGATATGCAAAACGTGGTGCAAAACGTGTGCAATAATTGGAAGGAATCCACTCGGGGCATCTATCCTGTTGCTCAGAAGTAGGGAACACCAGAAGACTTTTTGGCGTACCAACCATATGGGCGTGTGTCAAAATAGGGGACCTCCCCAAAAGAACAGCTTTCCAACTAGTTTCCCTTCAGACCATGATCAAAAAGGGTACCCTTTTTGGGATGGTTCTCAAAGCAACGAAAAGGAATTCCACCAATTTTGAGGCTCCGATTCCTCTTTTGACACAACTATGTCCTATGTTTCAAGGGTCATGATGCGGAGTCCCAGGGTCCCCCTTGGACCCTTCGGCTGCAGTTCCCCTGGGATTCGCCAAGGCGGACACCCGCAAGTTCACAAAGACCCCCCCCGACGCCGAGCAGCCGCGATCCTTCGTGCAGCGGGGCCCCCGGTAGCGATGGAACCGGTGGGAATGGAATTTGGGGATCCCCGAATTTGTTTACCCCAGATCAATAAATCCGTCCTACTTTTTGGGGGGCGTCGGGCCGTCGGGCCCCACAAAAGTGACGAGGATTTCCACTAAATGAGGACACGCCCACGATTAATCAACCAGGTGTTTATTATATCCGGGGTTCCCATTGAAGAAAAACGCGGGCAAAAGGGTCCACAGGAGGATGTCGGACAAGGTGCTGAGTTGGGAATGGACCTTTTCCCCGAAACAAAGGCTAGGAGGTTGTTCCCTCATGACCGGGGTGTCCAATGGTTTCTTGCCTGAAACCTAGTGGCGAACTGAAGGGGAACCATGGGGAAGCCGGAATGGTGACAACGGGGAACATGGGATACTTGCCTCCTGGAGTCCTAGTGATTACCAGACATGGAACCAAACAAAACCCATCATTCCTAGAAGAAACTCCTTGTGGGCACCCTGTGTTTGGCTTCCATGTGGAAATCGTAGGGGAGTAATTCCCCCAAGTATGTAACCAGGGTTACTTGCCACCAAGCACCCTGCCCCTTTATCCTCAGACATTCCCCCGGTTCTGTTTAATGTTGGATGCTTTATGTTTCTTCAAGGGGGTCTAATTACCAGTGTTTAGACCAGGTTGTTTTGATCTTGTGGCATATCAACTTGAAACCTTTTGAACATGACGCAACTCAATTCCGATTGCTTGCCTTACAGGATGTTGTGCTTTGGGCGATCCAATTGTGATGCAGTCTTTCCGGAAAGAGAACAGTTTGAGAGCACGGCCTCGCGCGCGGGGACTCGTGGGGACCCGTGGCACTTTTCAAGTTGATGTGTTGCTGGTGGTGTCTTGGTTTCGGGAAGCCAAAGGAAATCCGCGCCCAAGAGTTCACCTTGACAAGCATGTGAGGTCTAGTTGCCTGGTTTCCCTACCCTTTGACAGGACCCTTGAATTTCAGTGTCAAGACACCCTTCTTGAAGGTTGGTAGGGATTGTCCTGGACCACGACTAGGATTTCTGGTAATTGACCATGACAAGACCCAGGCAAATTCAGGCGACCTGAAACTCCAAAATGGTGGTGTTCCTTTCAGTTTCTTTTGATTTAGGTTGCAAACAGAGTCTCTCTTCAATATTCCATTCGGGCCAGTCAATACCGTTTTTTTGTTTGCTGTTGGTTTCTCTTTAAAGCACCCCCAAGAAGCAAATCCTCCCACCATAAGTTGTTCGGCTCATGTGAAATCGCGCCCAAGTTCTTCTGGCTTAGAGAGATCTTTACATAACTCAAATAGCCGCTGTTGCTACCCAAATGGCAACAGTACCGATTTGGATGTCCATGGTGAAATGGTAACGGGTAATTAGGTTCGTGCTGGAGCCCATCTACAAGATCTTCGCTCACTGCCTGGGCGAGGAGAAGGAGGATCTCGCCCAAACCCTCGCTGAGGCGGGGAGTTTTGGCATGCCTCCTTGATGGGGGCCTTGAAACCTAGACACTATGGCAAAATAGGATACACTTCGGAACAAAACAGGAGGACCAGTCGCCACATGGGCAAGGCGTCATTGTTGTCAGCCTCTTGTTTGGAGTCCACCCTGGTCCGTAGTTTCTTTCTTTTGTTTCATGCCACAAACAGAGTATACAACTAGCCTCACCTTAATCCTTGAACCAGGTGGGCATTTACCTCCACAAGCGCGACTACGAGCTGGACGCGAAACAGCTGATGCCTGCCAGAATTGCAGGGGTGGTTTTTGGATGGGCCTGGGATGATGAAGGCTCCCATCAGAATATGTTGAGAGGTGTACGATTCCCATCGTCGCCTGTTACGGTTGAACAGGTTGGTGAATGATTCCTTTACGACCCTTTTTCGGCCTGTACTTTCACCCAGCGGCAGCGAACTAGTGTGTTGGAAAAGAATGCGACCCTTCTTGGGCAGTGGCCCCTTCAAACGACGGCAAGTGACAGCAAGTTTTGCTTGTGACGCCTTCAGCTGTTTGACTTGTCCGCTTGGGCGACCTGTTTTTGTTTATTCTTCTTTTTTTCTGCGTGTTCTTTTTTGGTCAGGTGAGCTAGACGTGTTTCGCTCTGGCTTTCCCTTGAGCTGGCTCCAAAAGAGCTTCCTTCTGACAGGAGTTTGAGATGGAAGAAGAGCGCGCCCCTGGCGCTGACCCGAAGTTGGAATCCAGTTCAGTGATTCTTTCGAATGAAACATCGCAACCAAGTGCCTTCTTTGTTGGGAGCTTCCCACTAAACACGGTCAAGTCAAATCCAAAAAAGGTATCCGTCTTTGGTTTCCCCAGCAAACACGGAGTCAGCCGCAGAATAGGGTGTCTCTTTTTGCTGCCTTTTTTGGGTTTTACCTGAAAAAGGGGCACCCATGTTATATTACGATATGCTGACATCCCATGTCCACTTCCGTGGGTCGGTCAGAATCTGCCTAAGGATCCGCAAGGTATTCCTGCAGTACTTTGGCTCCGGAGGAGGCACTTTGCCTGCTCGAGTGCACAAGTGGCGTGAGCTTGTTTTGCCAAGTGTGGTTCATTTTTTTAGAAAGGCTCCAACAGGACCTCTTCATTTGTTTCAGCAACTGGCACATTTCGCGGTAGTCTCTTGCTAGTTTTTGGGGGCCCACCCCTGTTTTTCTCCCTCGGAAAAGCCCGGGGCGCATCCCGCAGTTTTTGTGCCAGAGGTGTGGCGTGTCCCGCGCAGCTTTGGCTCGAGAATTCTCCAATGGAGGATAGGAAACGGAAGGCGGAGGAGGCGGAGGCGGGCGACAACAGGCGTCTGGCCAGGATTCGGGGCAGCATGGATTTCCCCGAAGTCAAAGTTGATCAATTCACCATGGTTTCCATTGAATCGATCGCCACTTTTGGAGGTTTCAAAAGGGAAATGGAGGAAACCCTGCAATGTGCCGTGCCAGATCCAGACCTTGTGCGAAGGGGGCCGTTCTTTGTTGGTTTCCAGGGATGGAAAATTAGATTTGCTACATCCCCAGCAGCTCAGTTAGTTTCAGTTGTCGAGTTGCATCTCAAAAAAAAAACCAGAGCATGGATCATTTCCTGTGTCTTTATTCGTTTGTTTGTTTTCGGCAGATCCGCCCAGGGAGTGAGTTCGCCCGGTGTTGGCCAGCGCGAATGAAGCACTACAAGTAAATGGCACTGACATGGCTTTTTTGCGACGGATGCACCAAGTGAGCAATGGCGTTTTGGGTCCAGCAGGCCTGCTTTGTGAGATGGGGTAAAGACGTGGTAATCCTATAGGGCTTACAAGCGAAGCAGAGCCTCTTGCTGTTCTCAAGCTTTTTGTGTGGAGAAGATTTGGGCAAAACTAAGACTCCCATTTGGGGGAACTCTCAGGTATTGAACCCCTCACTTCCGTTTTTCAAAGAAAGACACTCCACAGACTTTGCTCGGTAAATTGTTAGGCTGTTGAAATGATGCCAGCCAACCCAAAGGTCGGGTCCGTATGGCCACTAAAGCGGTCGGTTGGGAGTTTGTCCGAAAGTGTGTTTTTGGTTTGAAAAAGTGGCAAGCCAACAGTTTCTCGCTACTTGTTCCTATTTACCCCCAGAGTCGCAGTGCCCATATTCTCCTTTGCTTGGATCTTCCCTTCATCCACCAAGAAAAAGCCGTATTTTTCGGGGATTCCCTGCGATTCCCTGCGATTCCCTGGGGGGCTGGATCCCCCGTGCCGCGACTCGGCTCCATGGTCGCGCCAGGAGGCGCCGCAGAAGAAGCCGCGGGAGGCGGAGGAGGAGGATGCCTTGGCGGACAGTCGCCCCACACTGGACGCTGAGGCGCGCGTTCTCTGCGCGAGCTGCGAGCGCGCGCTGGGGATGGAGGGAGGGGGGCTGGGCGGGGGGATGGAGGGGAGTTTTTTTTGGGGGGGGGGATTTGTTGTTTTTTGCAAGGGCTTTTGGTTGGGTTTACATGGCACCATTGTTTTTCAGGAAACGCGGGGTTTATTTGTTCACCTGGTTGTGTGATGCCCGTTCTGCAGAACATGAGTCCAAAAGCTCGCAGATCCTTGGAGTTTGGGGTAACTTTCTTCTGAGGCCCTTCGGGAGGACATCTTGCAGCTTGCCCAAGTGAGCAATATGCCTCTTTGCATTTGCCTCTCCTTGTTTTCCACAACATGAATCCTTGCTACGGGCTTACTTTGGAATCGAGCTAGGAGGTTTTGGAGAAGGGTTTGAACATCCTACCTGCGAGGCAGGCCGGACAACGTAGTGGAGTGGATATGTCTGAAAACTAAGAGCCATGGCCCTTGTTGCTTGGTGCTTAAAGGTAGGTATCGCCCGGCATTTGTAGAGCTGTTTTCGGCAACCCGCTCGGTCGCTAAGGCCGCCTGCCAGGCTTCGGGCGATGCACCCTGTTGGGATGGCGTTGAAAGAATCGAAATGGGAGCATGACCATTTGGGAGGGTTCCTAGTTTTCACCCGCACCAGTTGCCAGTAGATTCCATCCTTGGCAACTGTGTGGGTGGGCCTTCCATCAAAACATGGGCCGTTGTTGAGAAGTCATGGGAAAAGCAGAGCATCCAGTGGGCGAGCTCTGCACTTCATGAGATATCGTGTTTGATATTCGACGATAATGATCCTTAGCCAGCGTGTTTCCCGTCAATCGGGTGGTTTTGCAGTCTCATGTAAATGATGTGGATCAACAATTGGTGGGCAACCTCTAGGACCGCCCTTTTGTCTCCTCTAGGGTCTGAAGAGTCCAGCGCCGGAGGTGTGGGGACTTCAGCGGTTCATTTGGCAGTGTCTTTCTGATAACCCCCCCCCCCCCTCGCCCGGTTTGGGGAACGTTCCCCATGGGGTGCAGGTGTGCTTCCATGCGCCGGACTCCACGCTGAATGTGTTCTCAGCGATGCAGGGCCGAGTGCTGATGGCACTGTCGGCGGCTTGGCGTAGGTTCGAAGACCCAGTTGCCCAGTGGATTCCGCCCTTTTTCCTTTCAGGGCTCCCCTTCAGAACTTCAAACTGAACCAACCAGAGAAGGAGGCCCTTTCTATTTTTTTTCCCATGGCCACCGGGCATCCGAGAAGATTGGAGTTCTAGAACCTGAAGCCTCAAGATTCCCTGACAGAGTGATCATGTCCACACTGTTCGGGAAAACGTGTTTTGGGGCAACAGTGTGGAACAAATGACACCCACTTTTCTGCCCGCTCGGCAACGGTCGAAACCGTTCGAGTACTATGCTTTGTGTGCGCTTGACTACTCGCCTTTGTCTGGGTCATCGTATTGTTGCGTTCAACTTACGTTCGAGTTGCGATCGGAGTGGACAACTGTGATCGAAAGTGGCTCTTGCGGAAGCGTTCGGACGCCTTCGGGCGCGACAAGCGGCGTTCGGCAGGCGGTGCAGTGTGAAAAACAAACCGTTCTGGAGTGTAAATTGACCCGGCCGAGTGGAGGTAGAACAACATGTGTTTCTAGAGGGTGTGCAAGTTGTAGCTTCAAGGGGGCCGCAGGGAATGGTTGATAGCTCAACATTATGGGGTGAAATCATGGGTAGGTTTGGATGCGATTTTTTGTGGCCCCCTTTGTTGTGTTCTTCGTAGTCTTTAGGTACTCTTTTAATATCCTGCAGGGGTGGATCCACAAAAGCCACATCCAAACGAAATTGTTCGTGTCCTTTTATTCATAGGCAGGGCTTTCCCATCCGTTCCGTTTCAACGAGCCATCCCAAGGATAGAAGCAGGGTTTGGAGTCCTTCGGTTTCCCTTCAGAGACACCTGTTGTGCGCTTCCAGTGTGTTTGGAACACGTCTGTCAGGGTGCACACGACAGTGAAACAGGGGCTGAGCCCTTTTTCTTCGCTTGGTCAATGGACTCGTTGGAGAACGGTACCTCGGGTTTGTCGTGCATTGATTTATCAAAGTGCATACCAGGTTGTTGTGCGAAGCGGATGAACATGTGAGCCACAATCAAAAGAGCGGCTTGCTTGTTGGTCAGGAGGACATGTTCCTGAAAAATGACAAGGACGCTGCTCACGGGAATCACAACACCTTGTCAAAAGAACTGAATGACCACACGATTGGACAACTAGACACAAATAAACAGAAAGGACTACTCAGCATATAATCACAATGACATCATAATCACCAGACACTGGATGGTGAAAGTTCGGAAAGCGTCGGATGTATTCAATTGCTGTGTTCACCCCACAATCCCAAAGAGCAACAGTCCTTCCCCCTTCCCAGAAAGAACAGACAACGAACACATAGCATGCCAAGCAACTGCTGAGAGTTACTACTGCCATTTGTTGCTACTACTACGTACTACGTACGTACGTACGTTACGTACTACTACTACTACTACTACTACTACTACTACTACTACTGCTACTACTACTACTACTACTACTACCCCTACCCCTACCCCTACCCCTACCCCTACCCCTACCCCTACCCCTACCCCTACCCCTACCCCTACCCCTACCCCTGCCCCTGCCCCTGCCCCTGCCCCTGCCCCTGCCCCTACCCCTACCCCTACCCCTACCCCTACCCCTCCTGAAGCTCCGTCCACTCCTCCAAACTGCTAATCCTATTCCTTACTCCTCCTCCTCCTCCTCATGCTTCCGCTTCTGCCACTGCCACTAGCGCCACCATCCCGCCCTCAGGAGGGGGGCATGCAGCACCTCCTGGCGGGTGCGCGCGCCAGCGCGGGCCTGAAGGCACGCTTAAGTTATATCCGGTTGGGTTCGTGTTGGAAACTGGGACCACAAAGGATCAGATGTAGACCTGGAGTCTCCTTCTGACCCTTTAAAAATGGGGTCGTGACATCATTATTTTGGGTAATGACCCCATTTTTAAAGGGTCCTGGAGACTCCAGGTACGCCTTCTTGGTTGGGGTCAGCTGATTCCGGTGTGGGATCCGACTGTTTTACGCTCGGAAGCCATGGTTTGGCCGGATTTCGAACTATGGGATGGTCACTTTTCACTTTTGGTGTGGGTCCAAAAAAGGGTCACCCAGGAAGGAAAATAACATAATAGTTGCCATTAAGTTGTTTTTACTATTCCTCCAATTTGATTAGCATTCGCAAATGAAGCGGTTCGACCCTTTTGTCATGGATAGCTTCACATGTTTTGGAGGGGGAAGCCCTAATTCCGCTTCGGATTGCAGTCATTGTAGATGTTGTATGAGCATGGCCAACACTCGATTTTGAGTAGCCCGATTTGTTCTGTGTTGTACTGCAGTTGGACATAGCGCCGGCTTGTTCGGGGGAGTGTTCAAAAGGTTCGGCCTTTCGGCAAGGATGCGGGTCCCATCAATAGCTTCCCTCTAGGCAGGGCCGGGGTACTTCACTTGAGAATTGACATGAACCCCCCAAAAGGGCTTGCCCAACGGAGAAAAACAACGAGGTGTGTGTGGCTCCCGTTTTGAACGATGACCGCATGAGTCATTTGCGTAAAATGTCAGCATCAAGCGCGCCAGCGTCAGTCGTCTCGGAACCAGCGGCAACGCCCGTTGCTGCTGCATGTGC